CTTAATGGTATCATCAGGGAGTGAACCGACCAGCAAATCGAGAGGGGCGCTTCGGACGGATTCGAAGCTCGGGCGGGGGAGCTGGGGCGTGTGATGGGGGGGGGGGGAGGAGGAAGGAGGAGGAGCGTTTGATGGGTGGGAGGAGGAGGAGGAGCAGGCGAAGGGAGGGAGGCGAAGGGAGGTGAGGAGAGGAGGAGCAGGGGGTGGAGGGGGAAGGGGAGGGGTTTGGAGGAGAAGGAGGACAAGGGGAGGGGGAGGAGGAGGAGGGGGGGCGAGGGAGGAGGGAGAGGGGTGAGGGGAGGCAGGAGACGGAGGAGGGGAGAGGCATGAGAGGGAGACACGAGATTGGAAGGAGTAGGGGGACTGAGGGGCAAGAGGGGCGGGGGAGGCAAGGGGAAGCGGTGGAGTGGGAGGGGCGGGCAAGGAGGTCATGAGGGCCGAGAGGTGTCTGGGAGCGTCTGTGCGGGACGAGGGAGGCGTGATCGCTCTGTCCGCCCCAGGGTTAGGTTGGGTTAGCAACTAGACCTGCATTTTCCTGTCGTGTCAAATCTCGAGTCTGGCTTGCGTCTGGCTTGGTCGTCCTCGTCTTTGCGCGTCAAATCCCAAAACAGGGTTGAATGACATGAGAATCGCCGTTAGTTTTAGTCAAGCCATCGCCATGCCCGAGCGTGACGTCATATGTAAACAAACACAAAGGTTCTTTGGCGAGTTGCGAGCTGCGATTTATTTTCAACATTTTTGGATGCGAAAAAATAAAATTAAAAGGGGTATTGTATTAATAGAACCGAATTTTGACAAAGGCTTCATATTACTCTACGGATTCGGGGAAATTGCAAAACAAGCCTAAATTAACAGATGAATACCATGCTGGTTTTGGCGGGAGTGCGGAAATGCGCAGTACTTATTTCTGATTTTTTTTCCTGCAAAAGTGCTTTCAAAAGGACTTTTCTACATTTCAGAGGAGAAAAAGAGAGTAACATAGATGATATGAATTCCCTATGCTTATCAGGATTTTTTTACGTCATAAACCGCATAAAAAACAACATGATCAGTTAAAATACACAAGTGCGTCGTGGTCCTCTCTCTCTCTCTCTCTCTCTCTCTCTCTCTCTCTCTCTCTCTCTCTCTCTCTCTCTCTCTCTCTCTCTCTCTCTCTCTCTCTCTCTCTCTCTCTCTCTCTCTCTCTCTCTCTCTCTCTCTCTCTCTCTCTCCTCTCTCTCTCTCTCTCTCTCTCTCTCTCTCTCTCTCTCTCTCTCTCTTCTCTCTCTCTCTCTCTCTCTCTCTCTCTCTCTCTCTCTCTCTCATCGTCCTTTCCCTCTTTCCCTCTTTCCCTCTTCCCTCCTTCCCTCCTCCCCTCTCTCCCTCCTCTCTCTCTCTCCCCTCACCCCTCCTCCTCCTCCTCCTTTTCTTCCTCCTCCTCCTCTCTCTCGTTCTGCCTGTCTTGTCTCTCCTCTCTTTCCCTCTCTCCTTACCTCTCTTCCTCCTCTCTCCCTTACCTCCTCCTCCTCTTCATCCTCCTTTCTCAACTCCTTCCTTCCTCCTCCATTCTCTCTCTCACTCCTCATTCTCTCTCTCACTTCTCATTCTCTCTCTCTCTCTCTCTCTCTCTCTCTCTCTCTCTCTCTCTCTCTCTCTCTCTCTCTCTCTCTCTCTCTCTCTCTCTCTCTCTCTCTCTCCTCCCTCTCCTCCCTCCCTCCCTCTCCCTCTCTCTCTCTCTCTCTCTCTCTCTCTCTTCTCTCTCTCTCTCTCTCTCTCTCTCTCTCTCTCTCTCTCTCTCTCACTCATTTCTATCTCTCTCTTTCTTTCCCTTTCTCCCTCCCTCAACTCCCTCTCTCCTCATTCTCTCTCTCTCTCTCTCTCTCTCTCTCTCTCTCTCTCTCTCTCTCTCTCTCTCTCTCTCTCTCTTCTCTCTCTCTCTCTCTCTCTCTCTCTCTCTCTCTCCCTCTCTCCCTCTCTCCCTTCTCCTCTCTCCTCTCTCCCTCTCTCCCTCTCTCCCTCCCTCCCTACCCCTCTCTCTCTATCGGACTCTCTCTCTCCCTCCCACTCTCTCTCTTTCTCTCTAACCCTGAGTTGAGACTTACCGTAATACGATAAAGCTACAGCTCTCAACATGGGAAATTGAATACGAGATTTACGAGGTTTTGTATCATAAGCGATCTGTGGTTCCCGCACGCTATTCCATGGGTCCCAAGAGATGACAGTACATTTTTTTCGTGTTGACTTTTTTTTTTCCTTCGCTGACGGTCTGTACAAAATACACACACACACACACACACACACACACACACACACACACACACACACACACACACACACACACACACACACACACACACACACACACACACACACACACACACACACACACACACAACATACAAGAACATACTTAAGCGTGTGTGTTTGTATGTTTGAATTTTGACCGCGGAAGGTACAATTTTCATCGGGAATGAACGATTCCAAACAAAACCTTATCAAATGGTGATTGTGTATTTTTTTT